AACTGGACAGATTTCCAGTCCATCACAGGGACAACTGGACAGGTCTCAAGTCCATCACAAGGCCTGGTAAAGACCACATGATGTTTATCATGTTCATTAAAAGCAAAAATACTTGACTTGAGAGAGGGTGGACTCTGTTTGTCTTTTCACTGTATATCCTGTACATAAAAAGATTTGATACAGGATATTGTGGGGACTCCTGCCTTTGCTGCATGATATTCATATCATACCATGAACAATAAATGTGTCCAAGCTGATGAATGGATAGTCCTATGCCTGTTTTACTTTAATTATTTTTCTTCTTCCTTTTCAAAAACTGTTCAAAACAAGAAGGTGTTGCATAGAAACTTTTCTGTGATGTTATATCCATACATGATAATCAGGGCTTTGAAGAGGAAGTCCATCCATCCATCCATCCATTTTCTTTACCCGCTTATTCCATTTTGGGTCACGGGGGTCACTGGTGCCCATGTCCAGCAATCACTGTGCGAAGGGCGGTGTACTCCCTGGACAGGTCTCCAGTCCATCACAGGGACACATAGAGACAAATGAGACAAACAACCATTCACTCTCTCATTCACACCTAGGGACAATTTAGAGTTACCAATCAGCCTAACATGCATGTTTTTGGTCTGTGGGAGGAAACCGGAGCACCCGGAGAAAACCCACGCATGCACGGAGAGAACATGCAAACTCCACCCAGAAAGGCCCCCGGACCGGGGTTTGAACCAGGGACCTGCTCACTGAGAGGCAGCAGCTCTACCAGTTGTGCCACTGTGCTGCCCTGAAGAGGAAGTAATCTAGGTCAATCTATTTTTTGCTTCTCATTTGTAAGCACAGCGTCTGAGGAAGTGCAGAAACTGGTTCATACCCAGAAGACAACATGAATATAACCAACTGTGTTCTTCCCAACAAGCAATTATTTCAGCATCGCATCCTGCCTGCACTTTACATCTTGGTGTTCATCGTTGGACTGGTAGCTAATGGATGGGGACTGAAGTCTTTGCTGCACAACTGGAAGAAACTGGGGGATGTCAATGTCTTCATTCTCAACCTTGGACTTGCCGACATTTTGTATCTGCTGACACTTCCTTTTCTGGTGGTGTACTACTTAAAAGGAAATGTGTGGATCTTTGGAGGTGTTTTCTGCAAGGTAACAAGATTCTGCTTCAACCTGAATTTGTACTGCAGCATCGGCTTCCTCACTTGTATAAGTGTGTACAGATACCTGGCCATTGTCCATCCAATGAGAGTGATGGGAAGGATAACTGTGTCTCACTCTGTGATCATCTCAGCCATGGTTTGGATCCTGGCGAGTGTTCAAAGTCTTCCAGACATGTTTTTCCCCAAAACTTCTGGAAAGAAGAGTAAATGTTTTGACAGCACCTCTCAAGAATATATTGAAGAATACCTGAAGTACAGTCTTGGATGGACTCTGACTGGATTTTGCATACCATTCCTCATCACACTGGGCTGCTATGGACACATGATTTGTGTTCTCCGTCGCAAACGTACAGTTGACAAGATCCTAAAGCAAAGAAGCTTGAGGTTGTTGTTCATTTTGATTCTTCTCTTCTCAGTTTGTTATACACCCCACTATGTGTTAAAGAATGTCAGCCTTTATTCAAGAGTTTTGATCAAGCAGAAAATATGCAGTTATTGGGATTCTAGGGTGTTCAGTGCTCATCAGATCGGTCGTGGTCTTGTTTGTCTGAACAGTGCTCTGAATCCTCTGGTTTACCTCCATGTAAATGAGCACATTACTGCTCAGCTCAGGCAGCTGCTCCAGAGAGTTCGATCAACCTTCCATCAGCTGTTTTGAGTCTAAATCAGCTGTTGAACCTGTGGCACAAACAGGTGAAGGTGAAGTTAAACATTTTTTAAAAGACTTTAAGTTGAAATCACAGCAAGAGGTTTAAATAATCTACATTAAAAATGACGGTTATATTTTCATTATCTCTTTTATTAATTCTTGCATTCTTCACACTTTTTGGTAATGCAAACACATTCTAGAAACTTTGCAAACAAGCACGCCATTCAGCTGAATGGTTTTCTGTCATTGTTGACTTTGTTAACAGAGTTGTGACGCGTTTGCCTGTTGACACACGTGTGTTCGTTTTTCTTCACTTTTCAGTTTTTTATTTGTTAAAAAAGTTTGACACATCCAATAAAGTTTCTACTTCATGATTGTGTCCCACTTGTTGTTGATTCTTCACAAAAAATTAAAATTTTATATCTTTATGTTTGAAGCCTGAAATGTGGCAAAAGGTTGAAAAGTTCAAGGGGGCCGAATACTTTCGCAATGCACTGTACATAAAAGCCAGTTAGTAAAGTTCTCTATCTAAGGAATCCAGCAGACAAGATGAATCTTGGCTTCATCACAGTCTCCCATCCTGAGCAAGCACAGTGGCAACAGTGGAAAGAAAAACTCCCTTTTAAAAGGAAGAAACCTCCAGCAGAACCAGGCTCAGGACAAGCGGCCATATGCTTTGACCGGCTGGTTGAGAGGACAGGAAGGAGAGACAGACGAACACAGAATGGCAGGTCCAGGTATAGGTCCAGGTGTACCTGAAAGACAAAAAAACACATGTTAATTATAGAAAAAATAATTACAAATGTTGAGCAGAGTGAGTAAAGACAGTAGTAGAGTGAAAAGTGTGGTCAGTTTGTCCTCCAGCAGTCTAAGCCTATAGCAGCATAACTAAGGGACAGCTCAGGAAACCCAAGCCGACCCTAACTATAGGATTGAAATTGAAAATATGACTCAAACATTGGGACAAATTTGAGTCTCCAATAGTCTGTTGAGTCACTACTTTAATCCACCATGTGCTTTAGATTCCACTAACCAAGCAAAAAAAACAAAAAAAAAAAAAAAAAAAAGTTTTGTTCAAGAGAACCAAATATTAAAAGATGTGTAAATGTCATCATCAATTTTGATGTGAAATCTGTGTTCTATTTGAATTTTAAGATAAAGACGTATGTCTTTATCTGATAAAACAAATCTATGTTTGTTTCTGTTCTATTTAATCTTTTAATATTTTTAAAACACACTCCTAATAAATCATGCTATGGACACATCTGTAATTTTACGGACAAGCACTTACACAGAATATATAAAATTATGCTTGGACTTGTTGCTTGTCTTGATTGTTTGTCTATTTGTGTTACATACCCTGTTGTGCACAGGTGCTTTTTTCAACATGTTTCGATATACACAACAGTTCTATTTCGTATAAGCTTCGCCCTTTAAGGCTGTCGCTGATGGGTTTATCCCGTTATGCGAAGCATTGCACTGAAAAATTTAGTCCACGCCCACTTGCTGTGTGGGCCCCACCCGGTCCATATAAAATACGTTAAGGGTGGGTAATCGGCTCCCATTTTTCTTCAGCGAGCTAATAGCACTGTCAGAAGAATGAAGAAGGAAAGTTGTGTAGATGACCAACCTTTGTTAAGAATGCTTGGCCCGTCACGTCGACCTCCGGTCGTCCCGGTGAGCTCTCCTCCCCGAGGAGAAGCTGACAAGCAATCTTGTTTCAAGGTAAGTGCTGAGGAGTATTTCTCAGTGACAGGTCGCTACACGCTGGACAACGCAATCTTGTAATTTTCCTCTTATCGCCGACCCTCGGAGCGAATCGGATGGTTCCTCCAGGACAGGCAGCGTCAACAGCGGCCCTCCGCAGCTCATTCCCTCCTGGAGAGCGTAGTGTCGGTGGAGGGGGGCTGAGCGAATGCTCACCTCATCCCACCTCGTTTCGCATCGGCGATCACACCTCTCCCGGCCGACGGCACCCTCTGGGGTTGCCCGCGTAACCCAAGAGTGGCTGACATGAAGGGACCTTTTTTACGTCCCGCGCCTTTTCCCGCCAGTTCGGATGATCCGGCGGGAGGGTTCTTTTTTTAGGCTCCTTTTCCGGCTCACCGTCCTGACCCCATCTGGCCTTGTTTTTTCCCAACAGCATGTCCTACGGGACAAGGCCACAGCCGGCTTTCCTGGTAGATTGGGGGGCCGGTCTCCACAGCCCGCGCCCATCACTAGAGCAGAGGGGTTTCACCGAGCGGTTTTTTCCGTCAGTGCCCCCTGGAGCCGAGCCTGATGGAGGTTTCATCAGAGCAAGATGTCCAGGTGGACCAGCGTCCCGCGACTCCGGTTAGCGTAACCCAGACAGTGACACCGATCTTCGACTGAACTCACCAGCATGTGCGTTCCAGACAGCCGCAGCGAACAACACGTTACGCTGTTGGCGTACATGTTCAGAGGCGGGAGGGGACAACGCTCTGTCTGCAGGGCAGCTGACGTCATCCCCAACCGGTGCACCTCTTTGCTGTCTGCCGGCCCGCATCGCAGCTGGAGGACAGAGTTTTTTAGCGTTTCTCAGAGACCGCCAACAGATGGCGCTCTAGGACAACAAATGGCAGAGCAAATGACAGTTTTGGCAGAGAATGTGTGTAGGTGACACGAGTTTGGAGTAAAACATCATTTAATGATGAAAGTGTCTATTTTTCAACCTGTCTGTCAGCTCAGATGATCTGACAGTGGCTTTTTCTCACTTCCTCTACACGAAATGAGCCGGTGGCAAGACGGTTCCACGGCCGTCTCGCTGAGCTTCAGCCCATCCGTCAGAGACCGGCCCTCTTCATCCCGGCAACAGAGTGTCCAACGTTTTTCCCAGAGATCCCCAGCAGACGGCGCCCTGGGCCAACGAATCCCAGAGCTCATGGGAGAAAAGATTCAGAATGATGGTCTACGGCGGGTGTGTGTAAATATGACACAAATGTTGAAAAAAACATAATTCAATGATCAAGTGTCTGTTTCTAGCCAGTCTGTAAGCTCGGATGGACTCACAGCGGCTGCGCACACACCCTCCACACACATAACAAGACGGTGTCTTTAATGAGGGTTTTTTAAACTCACCACTGCTCCAAGACATGACGAGACGCTCACACGTCACAATGGTAAGCGAAATAACTCGTTGTCAACCCGAGCTGCATGATCCTCACCCAAGCGGTGTCAAACATGCACTCACGCGACGCAAACAGCCTTCACCCAAACGGCGTTGCGTTGATGATGGTGCACACACAACTCCCCGGCGTTCACCGGCCCACATCGGCATAAATGTAGGACCGCAGGTCGGGTCGGTGGAGGACCTCGCTCTCAGTGAGAGCGACACACGCCGCATCAAAGCAAATGCGTGCCGCCGCGGCGCGGGTAGCCTTCATCCACCGCATCTCAGTGCTCGGCCGCTCATAGCAGCATAAGCGTGAGACAGCTGAGCGAACCCAGTGACGAACCTTGCTTCCAGTGAGAGCGGCGCGCGTCCCACCAGAGAAAACGTGTGCTCCCTCGGGGCTCGCAGCCTTCACTCAAACAGCACGGCGTAGATGAAGTCGCACTCACTGCTTCGCAGCGCTCGCCTACTCATGGCGGCATAGATGCAAGATCTCAAAGCGAACCCAGCACAGGACACTGCACGCGGCAGGAGCGACACGCGTTTCACCACAGTGACGTCAAACGCGCGGCCCCACGGTGTCATCAGCTGTCACACACTTCGCCTCAACACACACTGGCCCACCTAGACATGAAGGTTGGTCCGCAGTTCGAACAAAGCACACGGGCGCGTTCAGAGCCTTTTCGAGGAAGCCTCGCCTTGGGTCACGCGGAAAACATTCCTGCGACACAAGACAGCGGTCGAGGCGTCGGACTGGATGACATCCGTACAAAACATGACGCATCACTTAAATGCACGTCCACTCTAGGAACGTTACGCGGAGTGACTAAAAACATGCTCGCCAGACAGATGGATGGCCAGGGTGTTATGCAAAGGTTACACGTTGTAGTTGCAACCCGACCCCCTCCGTTCGGAGGAATTTTAGAGATGGTCTTGTCATCACCAGACCAAATCTCATCCCTAAATGCAGAAGTCCAAGAGCTTCTGATAAAAGAAGTAATCTCCAGAGTTCCCAACGGAGAGAAAAACACAGGGTTTTACTCACATTACTTCTTGGTTCCCAAACGGACCGGAGGAACAAGACCCCCTTTTTTTTTTGGATCTGTCAGTTTTTCAACAAGGCGATCATGGACAGACCGTTTCACATGTTGACAACCAGACAGCTGTTGGACAACATCCAGAGAAACGATTGGTCTGTTTTCCGTCAACCTGAAAGATGCTTATTTTCACATACCGATCATCCCAAAACACAGAAAATTCCTGTGTTTCTCCTTCCAAGGGATGAAGTATCAGTACAACAGGCTGCCGTTTGGTTATTCCCTCACGCCTCGTACGTCCTCAAAGTGTGTGGAGACGGCCCTGCAACCGTTGCACAGGGCAGGGATGAGAGTCTTGTTTTACCTGGACGACCTGCTACTATTGTCACGCTCCAGACAGGAAGCAGTGATGCAGGCTCAGGTGTTGACATCACACCTGTTAAATCTGAGATTCGCTATAAATTGGAAGAAAAGCTTGATTTTCCCGGCCCAGACAATTGTTTATCTGGGAGTGGAGCTAAACTCAACCACCATGAGGGCTCATTTATCACAAACGAGAATCGACACTTTAAAAGACCAGCTCCGTCACGTAAGACCTGGCAAAGTGGTAACAGCTGTTTCCATCATGAAGCTGTTAGGAATGATGTCATCAGCTCACACAGTTGTCCCGCTGGGTTTATTACACATGAGACGCCTCCAGAGGTGGTTTGCGCGTCTGCGTGTGGACCCAGTAAAACAAAAGAGACGGATGATCACTGTTCCTCCCTCCATGAGGGCAGACCTCCGACACTGGGTAAACGCCCTGGATCTGTCGGAGGGAGCCCCTGTCAGCAGACCCA